TGTGTGTGTGTGTGTGTGTGTGTGTGTGTGTGTGTGTGTGTGTGTGTGTGTGTGTGTGTGCATCATTATCACCTGTGTGTATACAGTGAAAGTCTTGGTTGTATTTAACCCACAGGTTCTAACAGGTGTGTTCTTTGTTGTCAGATGAATTCTGGAATGTCAAAAAACCAGAGCCGGAGCCGGAGTCGGAGTCGGAGTGGGAAAGCAGGATTCCCGCCATGATGGCCGTTTGTTTCACAATCACTGGCGTCTGCATCATCCTGTGTTTCCTGTTTGGAACCAGAAGAGGAAGAGAAATCATCAGAAACATGATGACATGCAATACTCAAGATGACCTCAGTGACACAGACTCTGTGGTGGATAAAACCCTCCTGAACTCTGAACCCCAGACCCCCTGACAACATCTGTAATCTGTGTTTCAGTATATGTGTGTGGGGGTGGGGGGTTATTCCTCAACACAGCTGGCTGTGTGTCCTCCTGCCTCTCAAACGTCAGCCTGACGTTTATCTTATTTTATTTCTTTACACTTTCAATAATCTGTGACAAACTGATCAATGTAAATATGGTGATTTGTGTTTTTACAAATTGATCAATGTGAATATGATGATTTGTGTTTTTATAGATTGATTGATCCATGTATATATTCTGTGATAATCTGATTAAAGGGTTATGTCACCATTTGAACNAGCTGGTAATTCAGGAGATCAAAGGTCATCAATTTTTCCTTTCACAGAGTTAATCCGTCCCAGTGTAGAGACTCATATTATTTTTAATGGTACAAGATGATTTTGTTTTATTTTCATTCCACAAACTTTTATCATGAGATCAAACATGTGTGTTAATAACTAAAACACTCTGGATGATGACGTCGTCGCTCACTGAACAGCCTCTGTACAGTTCATGTGTTCGTTCGTATGAAAACATATTAATATGAAAACTGTGACTTCCTGCAGGAAACCTACAACAATAAAACACTTTGACCCAAAACCGTGTTTCACTCTAAACAACATGTTGCAATAACATGCATTTATCACCTGCTGCTGACCGCTCACCTTATTAACATACACACACAGAAATAAACATGTGTAATGTAGAAATACAGAAATAAATAAATATATCAATGAAATGAATACATGTGAAAATACAGGAATAACCTTTGTCGTTACCAAAATGTATTTATGCTTGTGTCATTTTTTGTTCTTTAGTTACTTATAAACCACAGACTGACCGTCTGTACTCACATGTAGGCTGCACCCGTGTATCTCTCTGCCCTATTGTTCATTTCTCCCTTTCTCTTTCTCTTTCTTTTAATCCACTTATCTTTACACCCGTGAAGGCGTTTCTCCTCCTCCTCCTCCTCCTTACCTGTTTGGAAACTCCCGCAGAAGAGGTGTGTTTCACCTTGGATCATTTCACGTGATCTGTCATTTCTCCTTCAGAATCACTCAATGGTTCTCTCCTGACAGACGCAGTCGAAGGTAGGTCTGAGTCTGTTTGCATTTCTGTTTGTTCTGCACTTGAAGCAGGGAAAGATATTGATCTAAACAAACCAAATATTTTCTCGTGATGAGGTTTTGAATGTGTACTGAATCATATTAGGTGTGTGTGTGTGTGTGTGTGTGTGTGTGTGTGTTTATTGTGAGTTTATTGTGAGTTTATTGTGATCATAAATTTACTAAAGATAAGATGTTCTATTTGTTCCCAAACACAAAAAATGTGATAATATTCGTTTGATCAAGTTGTGATTTTTAAGGGTTACTCCAATATCTTTCCACATATCAATCACTGGTTTAATCTATAACAATGTTTTTTTATATTTTGCATGTAAAATCTGAGTAGTGTAGAATTACTAGTAACTACAGCTGTCAGGTGAAAGCAGTTGGGTGAAGTACAATATTTCTCCCTGACTTGACGGTAGAATGACGTTCAGGCGCCAGAGCGGTTCTTAACATTTACTTTGTTCCTCTCTCTGAAGACGGAAGATCCAAGATGTCCGGCCTGAGGTTGTGGCTGACTTTGCTCTTTGCTGCTACTTTTCAACAAGGCCAGGCCGAGACCTTATCAAATAAAGGTATTTATATGAACATACTGTATATACTGTAGATACATTGTGAAGTAAGAGAAGGAAATCATAACTTCTGCTTTGTTCTCTTCCAGGAGTTTTACTGAAGTGCAACAGATCAGTGGAAGTTGAAGCTGGAGGAACTGTGACACTAACCTGCAATGTGACTTACGACTTGGAGGACCCTACAGATTGTGAAGCTAAAAAACTAACCTGTAATGACGCAAATATCAGCATATATGACATCAATAGAGTGAATTACACTCATGCCATCATGTCAGTGAACATCTCACAAGTCCAGAAAATGGGGAATTACACCTTCAAAGTGATGACAACTTGTGGTGGTGATGTCTTTACGGTACAAATGAACCAGCTCATCAGCAAACGAGGTCTTACAGGTGAGTCTGGTGTGTGTGTGTGTGTGTGTGTGTGTGTGTGTGTGTGTTTGTTTGTGTGTGTGCATCATTATCACCTGTGTGTATACAGTAAAAGTCTTGGTTGTATTTAACCCAAAGGTTCTAACAGGTGTGTTCTTTGTTGTCAGGTAAATTCTGGAATTTCAAAATACCAGAGCCAGAGCCAGAGCCCGAGCTGGAGCCGGACAGCAGGATTCCCGCCACGATGGCTGTTTGTTTCACGATCACTGGCGTCTGCATCATCCTGTGTTTCCTGTTTGGAACCAGAAGACGAAGACAAGCCATCAGAAACATGATGACATGCAATACTCAAGATGACCTCAGTGACACAGACTCTGTGGTGGATAAAACCCTCCTGAACTCTGAACCCCAGACCCCCTGACAACATCTGTAATCTGTGTTTCAGTATATGTGTGTGGGGGTGGGGGGTTATTCCTCAACACAGCTGGCTGTGTGTCCTCCTGCCTCTCAAACGTCAGCCTGACGTTTATCTTATTTTATTTCTTTACATTTTCAATAATCTGTGACAAACTGATCAATGTAAATATGATGATTTGTGTTTTTATAGATTGATTGATCCATGTATATATTCTGTGATAATCTGATTCAAGGGTTATGTCACCATTTGAACACATGCAGTCTCCTCATGATGAAGAGTATGACCCTGTGCTGTGCTGTGATGAGTTGCATTATGGGAAATTTGGGATCCAGCATTTTTGGGATTAAATTACAAGGGATTAAAAACCAGGAGAGAATTTCCTCCTTTTTCTAATGTGTCACTTGGAAATTATATTATATTATATTATATTATATTTCATGTTACTGTTGATAATGACATGAAAAAGCTAATAATTGTTACTGTGACAGGGTGTTAATGTGTCAGTCATGGTGCAGATTAACTCAGACACTGTACATAACACATCTTCTGTGTGATGGAAAATCTCTTCAAATAAACATTTGACAGTATCAAGCACTTCCTCGTCTTTGATGTGACTGTGACGTTGCAGAGCGCACACACACACACACACACACACACACATACACACAGTTTCCCCTGTACACCACACTGCTCTCTCTGAGTGACAGTCAGTCAGTTGTGGGCCTGCAGCCCAGCTCACAGGATGGAAGCCTACTCATGGAGCTGTGTGCTGGGATTACTCTGCATGCCTGCTGAGGTTATACTCCACAACTGGACAGGTGAGTGTGTGTGAGTGTGTGTGTGTGTGTGTCTGTGTGTGTGCATGTGTGTGTGTGTGAGAGAGAGACTAGATGGAGAAGTGTGAGTCGTCGGTTCCTGTTTGTCATGTTTTTGTCGTTTGAGCAGTGAAACGACCAGCTGATTCTTTACTTCAGTAAAAGTACAACAGTGAAAACTAAAAGTCCTTCAATCACAATCTGATTAGTTCAAAGTCATTTTATCAGCAAAGCGTTCTCAGAGTGTTAGAACTAACAGCATCGTTCTGCAGGAGAACACTTTGTTACTGGTTCATTAACGTCTCACTGTTTACTGCAGATGGTTTCAGTCTGGTCCAGACTCACAGGTCAAACAGTGGAGAACCACTGGTTTAATTATGTTTCAGAAAATTCATTTTTAATGATTTTTAAACTTCATCTAAAATGTGACCTTTGACTGTGGCTGCTAAATACAGTTAAACAGGAAGCACAGCATTTCACTGAGCTGTAGAGTAGACGTATAAAACTTGAGTGGAGAAAGGTGATACTGAGTAACGGTTGACAGAGGTGATAACTGTCTGACTCGTCTTCAGCTTCAGTTTCCTGACGTTTCTCTACATGAACAACTCACTGCTCTCAGTAAGCGTCCTCCTCCTCCTCCTCTCCACAGTGTCTCAGGCCCCTCTGTCCGTCTCTTTCCTGAGAGTAAACTCATCTGCTGAGATCACGTGCACCACGTCGCTGTCTAACCCGATGGGGCTCTACCTGCACAGGCGCTTCAGTGGTGACAGGGACGTCGTGTTCCTATCCTTGACAGAGGGGCAAATCACCAAGTATAAAACAGATCCAAAATTTAATAACCGAATTCACGTAACTGCGGACGAGCAGGCGATGGAGGGCTCTGGGTTCACGCTGCGCCTGTCTCTGCTGGAGCTGGACGACACCGACATGTACTTCTGCAGCTGGATCCACTTCAGTCAACAGACCCACCAGAGGGAAACCCAGTCCAGCAACGGCACCATCATCATTGTCAAAGGTGAAAGGACACACATATACACACCGTCCATTCATAATGAGAAGAAATAACTTGTTATAAGCTTTGTTCTTGTGTCTCACAGAGGAGGGCCTCCAGGAACCGTGCAAGGACAAGATTCTGGATCTGACCTTGATTTCCTTGAGCATGACAGCGTTCACCACCATACTGGTCCTCTTTATTGTAGCACTGACTCTGAAATGCAGACGAGTAAGTACGAAGCTGACTTATGCTCTCATCAACAGGAGCAAAGACGAACAGCACTGTGTTCAGACGAATGTGTTTCTCTGTGTAACAGTTCAGAAAGACCTTCAGACCTGCTGCAGAACCACGCAGGCCCACCAGCCCTCGGCACATCTGTCCTCAGCACTATCCCTACATGATCACATCTGCAAACCCTCTGGACTTCAGGGGCATCCTGTGAAGAGCTGAATGTGTCACATGCAGGGTCTGTAATGACTGAGGTCTGCAGCTCGACCCATTAAAGCTGCGTCATCTTTTGTTCTTTTCATTTCCTTTTACACAAATTTGTGTTGTTTGCAGAAAAGTGACAGAGCCACCACATCCTGGATGATGTGGTGTGTACGGACATGCTTGCGTGTGTGTGTGGTGCCGTCAAACACACACTGCAGAAAAACAGAGCATCTTCTTGTTCCATGTTGTGCAACATGTTTGCTTGACCTTTTCAGTTTTATCATGATTACTGTATGTTTCCATCAACAGATATGGATCTTTCTGTTTCTGTCTGTCTTGATTTGAACATTAAAGCTTTTTCCAGCGGTGCTATTCTGTTAAATGTCACCTCTTCTTCCTTCACCTGTGTCTTTATTTAACATCCAGACACATGTTCCTATCAGCCCTCGTGTACCGTCAGTTGTTTAACCTGCTGCTCTCTCTGAACGAATAATCATGTTTTAGGTTTTTTCCTTGCCCCTTTCAGAATATGTGCAAATAAACAAGAAGACAAAGAAGCGGTCACACTCTGCAGGACTTAAGCTTTTACTTTAGGTTTCAGTTCATTGCTTATATTCATGACCTCTGGCCTGTTGAAGTGAGACAGGAAGAGCATCTTAGTGGAGCAGGTCTTATTGAGGCGCCAATTGTTTCAGTACACACTGATGTCCTCATATTCATCTGTGTGAAACCAAAAGTGTCTTAATGTGTCTGTCTAATAGGGCCTGTTTTTTTTCTACAGATATTTTAAAGCATGAGCAAGAGTTATTTTCTGTTTCTGTTCATGTTCAATAGGCAGAAAATAAAACAATAACTATAATTCAGTCCCATTTTCAAGATTTAATTCTTCAGGTTTAATATGATGCTCTGATTTTCAACAGAGAGACATTTACTGTACAGAGAACTGTCAACAGGTTTATTTAGTGTCACATAAACTGAAGGTAATCGATGGCAAAACTCGTGGAAAAGCGCTAATATAAAAATAGCTGCACCGCTCCTGTGGAACCTTCGTTCTGAACTGTCGGTTTCCCAGGGACGACTGAGGGGAAAACACACCGTGCAGCCTTGAAAACTGTGATAACACTGTAACTATGAAGTTAACGTTGTTGAATTATAGAAACGCGTTTCGAAGTGCGTAGACGTGGTGAAGTGTTAGCATTAGCTAGCTAGCTAGCTAGCTGAGGGCACGGAGACTGTTGAAAAACTTCCCGGGAAACATCAACGTTTGGGGTTTCACCTCCTGCTCTTGAGTCCAGCAGAGGCTGCTATGTGAAGCGGGTCGCTGAGAACCAGGACGCCATCAAACTGGACTGAAGTGTTTTCTTAGTTTAAAGCCCGACAGCCTCCGTGACAGGAGAAGATGAGCGGCCACAGACTGCTGCTCCCCGGGCTGAGGCTGTGGACTTCCGGGAAAAGTCGGTGGATGAGTCGCCGTCACGACGGTGAGTCTCTGCACCGTCTGAACTCCGCTCTGTTCAATGCTGACATGTAGCCCTCCGAGCACACGCACCAAACCCCATTCAAACTTTACTCCATTATGATTTGTCTAAGTTGTTTATTGGTCAAACTACACACCTGCTAAAAGACATGTTTACCTTTTTTAAAAAAAAAGTAGACTTCACTCAGTGATTCGGCACACACCACATGTTTATATCTATAAAATATAATCTACAACTTCATGCCTGACTCTGGTGGCTTAAATCTCAGTTAAATAATTGACACCGGGTCCAGACCTTTTTATGTTTTTATAACTGCAGCTCCAAACTTAAGTGAGTTTCTCTGCTTTGTTCTCTGTTGACTCTGCAGGTGCATGTTTTTCCTCCTGCAGTCCAAAGGTGTGTATTGTTGGAAGTGGGCCAGCAGGTTTCTACACAGCACAGCATCTGATCAAGGTAATTTACCACCCTTTATGGCTAGGTGTTTTCTTCTCAGACTCAGATAAATTACCAGAGAAATAAATGTTTTTATAACCCTATAAAAAAAAGCAGTTCTGCTCACTGATGTGAAACACTTTCTGCGACAGTCCAATACTCCAAAGATGAAGGGACTGAATGAAAACCGAAGCTGATTGTGATATGAGTGGGGATTTCAATGTGAATGATATTTCTTTAAATGTCACTGAACAAAATCTAAACATGATGGTGATGATGGTTTGATTTTTGTTTTGGTTTTGGTTTTGTACCAAAACAAACATGTTTCCACTCATCTGGAGAATATGATTTAAAGACTGAGGCGTCTCTGTAGCCTCATGCTCTGATGTTACTTCATCAGAAAAACACAGCTCCTGTGGTTTGGATAATGCTCTTGGACATGTTGCAGTTTTAATAATATATTGATTAATTGTTCAGCTCTCGTGGAAAAAGTGTGACAGAGTGTCTGACAGGTTGATATGACATGTTGTCCAATCCTCATGTCATCATGGTCGTCTTCCTGGATTTTCCACAAGATACTGGTCCGGCAACACACAAATCATTGTTTCGTTTTCATGCATATTGAAAACATCATTCAAACTAACACAGCGTAGGTTGGTAAAGTATGTGACCCCCATCGGCTAATGGCATCAACAGAAGCTCCGTCAGGAGTTATCAAACCTGGAGTCCTGTCAATGCAACCAGATTGGAGGTGTGGGTTAGAGACACTTTGAACGCTCAGTAATGTTAACAAAGAAGAAATAGTTTGTGTGGTGTAGAAAAGCTCTGCATTCTACATCCTGAACATCATCATCATCATCCCAAAGATGAAGCAGGGTGGAGGGAGCAGTATGATTTTGGGGCTGATTTGCTGCCTCTCGACCTGGACATCGCCACGTCATCGAGGAGAAAATGAATTCTCAAGATTATCAAGGTCTCTTCTAGGGTAATTTCAGGGTGTCTGTCCACCTGCTGAAGCTCAGGAGAATCTGAGTGATGCAGCAGGCCAGTCAGAGCCCAGACCTTATTCCAGTAAAGATAATGTGGAATGAGCTGAAGAGAAACATGCAAACCAGACATCCTGAGAATATGTCTGAGCTGAAACTGTTGTTTAAAGAAAAACGGTCCAAAATTCCCCCTGAACATTGAGCCGCTCTGATCAGCCGCTACTTGAAGAACTGGTTTGAGGTCATTGTTGCCAAATGAGGTTCAACCAGTTATTAAATGCAAGGCTTCACTTTTCCCACCAACACTGTGAATGTTTAATTGCTCTATTCAATAAAGACACAAGAGATTATAATTGTGTGTGCATGTGTGAAATATTAGTTTAGGGAAACTGTTTGTCTGCATTTGTGACTTAGATAAAGATCACATCACGTTTTATTTTTTTCAGTGCAGAAAACCAGAAGCAGTAGAAAACGGTTCACACACTTTTTTGCCACTGTAGATGGAGCAAGTCTTATTGAGTCACCAGCTATTTCAGTACCTGTTGATCTCATAATATACACCTGTGTGACTAGTCCCTAATATGGCCTGGTTTTTTCTATAGTTATATTAAAGCATGAGCTAGAGTTATTTCCTGTTTCTGTTCATGTTCAACAGTCTACTAACATGAGAAAAATATTTAAATGGTTCAGAAAAGTAGCAGAACAGTCTGTGGATGGGAAGTGGCTCATAGAAATAAAATTCTATTGCAGTAATAATTATCATTCTGTAACAGGTTTATAATAAAAACCTTTTGTATGATTTTGTATTCGGTGAATTTCCGCTGTGTCTCACTGAGCTCTGAGGACACAGTAAAGTGTTAGCTTAGCAACCAGAATTAGCATTCCCTTTTCTCGTCATGTCTCCTGAACTCTCCAGATCTTAGTTAAATTTATTGGATGATCAGACTGACAGTCTGCAGCATGCTAACAGCTCTGTGAGGCTGTTTTGAGCTAAATGCTAATGTCATCATGCTAACAGCTCTGTGAGGCTGTATGCAGGCACAGTGCTGTTTTAAGCTAAATGCTAACATGTGTAGCATTTAGCTTTAGGTGTAATGTTTGTTGTCTGTGCTCATTTACTCTAATAACTGTAATCTGAATCATTTTTGTGTTATTTATTTATTTATTTTTGTTGTGCTCTCAGGCTCAGCAACACGTCCACGTGGACATCTACGAGCGGCTGCCCGTCCCCTTCGGTCTGGTCCGGTTTGGAGTGGCCCCTGATCATCCTGAAGTCAAGGTCTCTGCTTCTGAGAACCAGCACTGTTTGTATTATTGTACTATTATTCATTTATTAAGAACTGCAGGTGCAGTCTGTGTTCAGCTGTCACACAAACAAAAGCAGGAATGCTTTGGTAATGCAACATAATTAGTTTGTGCACAGATCGAGAGCTGGGGTTATTTCTGAGTACCAGACAAACCTGGTAATCAGAAACCAGGTTGTTGTAGTAGTTCATCATGAAAAGTGTATTACAGAAACATTTACACACACACACACACACACACACAGGTCTCCAGCCTGTCTGGAAAAAAACTTCCTGGCACGTGTGATGGAAAATGTAATTAGCCACTTAATAGTGATATAAACCTGTCAGATAAAAAACAGACCTGCTGGGCCAGGAAGTCATGTAAGGAAGAGTGACAAATTTGTGTGCGTGCGTGCGTGCGTGCGTGCGTGCGTGCGTGCGCGCGTGCATTCGGCATGCGTGCGTGCGTGTGTGTGTGTGTGTGTGTGTGTGTGTCTTTCTGTTCTCATCAGTTTTCAATCTTTACATTGTGATATGAGTCATGATTTCAGTCGGAATGACACTTTTCATTTTCACTGACATTTTTCTTGACATCTGAAGGATATGATTTGTAAGCTGAGGGCGTCTCTGTAGCACCACAACGCTTATGGTGCTCACCTTCATCACAAAAACTGCAGCTCCTGTGATTTGGATATTGCACTTTGTCACATTGAGATTTAGATTATATTTAGATTTATTGTACAGCTCTAAAATATGTATTATCAATGGATCAGACTTTATTTGTATCGCACTTTACATACGACATAAGGTGTTACCACCACACACAGAGCGATAAATGACTAAGTTATAAATAGAAGCAATGAGACGATTATAACAGGAAGTGAGGAAACCGAATATGATGATATTGAAACAGAGGAGATGCACTGATGTAAGTAAAACCTGAAATGTTGCTTCACATCAGGTGATGTGTGGTGTGCGATGCAATCTCAGAAAGTTTCCACATTTCCCTCAGGCAGTGAAGAGAAAATGAGAAACAAACCACACCTGAGGACAAAACCACTGCATTGACCAGATTCTTGTCTGTGTGGGGAAAGCAAACAGGAGCTCTGCCTCCTGCTATTTATTATCTGTGCGACTGTTTAATTGGCCGATTATTCTCTCAATTAGTTGATTAATTGTTTTGTATA